ATTTATTATGTATACAATATTCTGTCTGTGTGTATGTCTACAGGCCAGAAGAGGGCAACAAACCTTATTACAGATGGTTGTGAGCCACCATGTGTTTGCTGGGAATTGAACTCAGGACCTTTGGAAGAGCAGGCAATGCTCTTAACCACTGAGCCATCTCTCCAGCCCTCCATTTATTTTTTCAATAATGTCTAATGTTAACCAGAGTTTGAGATGCTATAGTTCTACATTTTGAAAAATGAATGGTTTAAATTATATAAGGAACTATCCTGAACATTTATTATAATAAACTTGTGGACCAAAGGAGCAAAATGAATGTTTAGTTAAGAATGGTGAGATCAGAGCTGAAGATGTGGGCTCAGACTTTGAGTCAGCTCCTACAGAAGACCTGAGTTCTGTTCTCAGCACACACACACACACACACACACACACACACACACACACATACATATATATATATATCCTGACAATATGGCCCATGTCTTTAATCCCAGCACTCTGGAGACAGAGGTAGGTGGATCTATGTGACTTTAAAGCCAACCAGAGCTACACTGTGAGACCCTGTCTCAAAGAAAGGGAGTGGGGACTGGAGAGATGGCTCTGCTGTTAAGAGAGGTGGCTATTCTTCCAAAGGACCCAAAAACAATTCCTAACATCCATATGGTGGCTCACAACTGTTAACACCAGTTTCATGGGATCCAACACCACCTTCTGGCCTTCATAGACATTGGACACTCATGTGTTACACAGATATACATGTAGGTAAAACACCTGTACACATAGAATTTAAGAAGAAAAAAATTAAAGAATAATACAAGAGAAAACTAGAGCTCAAAATTATCCATGAAATTTTGTGAGAATCAGGATGCCTAAAGAACTGTGTGAAATACAATCTGAAGGCACGCCAGTGGTCCTGTGGGTCCGTAGTAATTTTAAGTCTGATTCGGAGGGATGGTAACAAGCTGCATTTAGCTGTAGCAGTACTTATTGGACAGGGCCACTCTATACTGTTGAACAGAGCTTGGTAACACTAGAAGTTCTTCCTTAAGACCCTATGTATTTGTTTGCTTTTTGAGATGAGACAGGCTTTCACTCCGTTGCTCAAGCTGGCCTGCTTCTATGAGGCAGGGCATCATTTAGATCCACTTATTTTGAGATATGTGATACTACTTATGATAAAACCAAATGTTTTTGTCAAAAATTTTGAATATTCCCTATGCTATCTTATTTCTAAGACTAATTTTATCTGCCCTTTTGTATAGCATTAAGAATACATAGCGAACAAGACCTGGGTGTGGTTATCAATTATGTAGGGGAATCAGGTGTAACCTCATGACTGGAACTCTTATTTTATCTTCAATATCAAACAAAACAAAACAAAAAGCTAGTTAACAAAAAAAGCATTCCTACTCTAGTGCTATTTAGACAAGATTTAATAAAAATTAAAGAATTAGCTGAGCTGAGGTTGGCAAGGCAACTCAGCAGGTAAAGATGCTGCTACTCAGGCCTGGTCACCCAAGGTCAACCCCCAAAGCCCAGGTAAAAAGCTAGGTTTGATGGTACTATGTACCTGTGACCCCAGCACCCCTACTGTGAGATGCTGAGCAGAGACTGGAGGGTGCCCCGAAACTCACAGACTGGGTAACCTGGAGTACTCATCATGGCACAAATAGCAAGAGAGGCCCTCACTCCAAAACAAAGAGGAAGGGGGCTGGAGAGATGGCTCAGCCATTAAGAGCATTGCCTACTCTTCCAAAGGTCCTGAGTTCAATTCCCAGCAACCACATGGTGGCTCACAACCATCTGTAATAAGGTTTGTTGCCCTCTTCTGGCCTTCAGGCATACATGTAGACAGAATATTTTATACATAATAAATAAGTAAATAAACACATAAATAAATGAATAAATAAATAGTATTTAAAAAAACAAAGAGGAAAGAAAGACAATCAGCTTCCCAAAGTTGCCCTCTGCCCTTCATACTCCTCATGGGGTGTGTGTATGCGTGCCCAAATGATAGGACTGGACAAGGCATAATTACCCAGGCTGAACTTGATTGTTCACGTATATAATCCCAGCACTGGATAGCATGAGGCAGGAGAATAACCACGGATTCAAGGCTGTGTCTACACAGTGAGTTTCAGGAAAGTCTGAAATTACTATGTCGTGAAACCCTGTCTCTAAAAGACCCCAACAATGATCAACAAGAGATATAAACATTCTCATCTATCCCTGTGATTAGAGATAGATAATCTCACTTTTAAAAAGAATACTGAGTAGCAGGCTACTTTTCTTTTTATGTAACTCTCCTGAGTGATCAGCAAACAAAGTTCTGAATACAAAGTGGAAAATGTGCTAAAGTTCACATTCTGCCTGTGAAACAAAAAGTTCTCATAAAAAAAAAAAAAAAACTACAGCGGGTTAAGAGCATTGACTGTTCTTCCAGAGGACCTGAGTTCAATTCCCAGCAACCACATGGTGGCTCACAACCATCTGTAATGAGGTCTAGTGCCCTCTTCTGGCAGGCAGGCATACATGGAGGTAGAATGTTGTATTCATAATAAATAAATAAAATCTTTTAAAAAAAATCTACAGAGAAACCTTGTCTCAAAAAAAAAAAAAACAAAAAAAGGAAAAAACTATATAATAAGTTATGTACTCCTTTAGAAAAAGCCGATGTTTTCTTGAAGTGTTAATAATGCTTTTTAAATTATTATGCAGGATGAAACAAAGAATGCAGAAAGAGAAAATGAGTCTACACACACACTCTCTGAAGATATATATAGCACTCAAGACAGTTTGCTAGGGGGTACATTTCCCTTTGCTTCCATCTACAAAACAGGAAAACTGTGTCCTGTGCTAAGAAGAGTAATAGCCAGATTCTGAGATAAGCACGTTATATATGCTATTAAAGTAAACCACAGATAATCCTATGAAGTGTTGGGGTTTTCTTTTTCTGAAATAAGAGTAATTTTTATTTCCATTTTTCATTAAGAATCTGATTTGCCCAGCGTCATGTATCTTTAATCAGCAAGCTGATTCAAGTTGTCTCAAACACTAGAATACCACAGAAGCATTTTAGGAGATGGGTGTTGATACGACCAAAATTTATCATTTTTGGTTTAAATTGATATTGGGTTAAAAGCTAGTTAAGAGCTAGTCATAAGACACACTGACCATATTTATCAATATAAGCCCAAATAGCATATAGAAATCTGTTTTAATAACTATAAAGAATAGTAACTTGAAAAGATCTGACAAACCTTGCTGTAGCATTCAGTATGCACGGGTGTAAGAAATGTAAGTGGTGTGGGGATTAGAAAGGCAGACAAGGGCCCATGAGACGGATCAGCAGATAAGGGTACTTGCTATGCAAGCCTAGCGGCCTGGGTTTAATTCCCAGGACCCACATCAAAAAGAAAGGGGAGAATTCCACAAAATTGTTCACTGACCTCACACATGTGCTGTGGCATGCCTTCCCACACATATATACATATACAATAGTAATCATTTTTAAGTTAAAGATAGGAAGTAATCATTTGTAAACGTGGTTTTTCTACATAAGAAATTCATAAGCGCCTAGAAACTCCTAGACCCAATATAAAAGTTTAGAAGAATGATCAGTCAATATTTTAAAAACTAATAGCATTACAATGTGCTAACAGGAATTTCCTTTCAAAAGAAATGCTTAGGTCTGTAGAGATGGCTCAACAGTTCAGAGCACTTACTGCTCTTGCAGAGGACGGATTCGATTCACAGCACCCACATTAGGGGTTCACAGCTGCCAGGAACTCCTATTCCAGAAGCCCCCGACACGCTTTTCAACTCTCCATCGGCACCTGCATGCTCATAAACTCATGGAGGCACATACACATAAATGAAACATAAACTCTTTCTAAAATTTTAACTATTATCAGTAATAGCGCTACTAAAATACCCGAGAACAAATGGCACAGAAGGTGCGCCAGGTTTGATGGGGAAAGTTGGTGGAGAGCCTAGGAACTGAAAAGATGCTGCGTACTCAGTTTCTCACAGCTACGAATTACCATAATTACACTTATCATTAGGAGGTCCTGGTATTTCCATTTAGAAATGAAAGAAGTTGAGCCTGGTATGGTGGTGTGTGCACAAACCCCAGCACTTGAGGAGATAAGGCAGGAGGATCAAGAGTTTAAGCCAGTCTGGGCTATATAATTACCCTGCCACTGAGGGCTTCATAACAAGACCCTGTTCTCAAACAGCAACAAGATTTGTTAGAAGTGTGATTATAAATTAGTGGGGTAAGAATACACTTATCTGGTTATGCCAGAATAGTTAGTTTTCTAAGATATTAGACATTACACCAGATTCAAAAGTTAATTCCATAGGGTCATGGCCTACCAGTGAGTTACAATGTTCTTAACTCCAGAAAGAAAACTTAGGGCCAAAGATGTGGCAGGTAAAGGCGCTAGTTGAGCAAACCAGAGTTGAACCCTCAGAGCCATTGTAAAAAGCCAGATGTGGTGGTGCACATCTGTGATCCCAGCACTCGTGCAGTAAGAGGGAAGGTACAGATGGGAAAATCACCCAGTTCATGGAACAAAAGTTCACCTCCAATCTTTTTTTTTTAAAGAAATATTTATTTATTTATTTATTTATTATGTATACAATATTCTGTCTGTGTGTATGTCTACAGGCCAGAAGAGGGCACCAGATCTCATTACAGATGGTTGTGAGCCACCATGTGGTTGCTGGGAATTGAACTCAGGACCTTTGGAAGAGCAGGCAATGCTCTTAACCGCT